TGCTTTTTTCAGGCAGAGCACATGCCAGCACCAGGACTCCACCCAGAAACTTCACCAGCTGCAAAATTGCTGAAGGACAATGCGAGATTCAACTGCATTTTAGAGGGGGATTTTTCTGTGCCAAGGTTACTCCAAATTATCCAGCATCAAGACATTTATCTATGCAAGCCAACAGCATTGGCTGGGGGAGAGTTACAGAAGATACTGGTGGGGGAGTGGAGAAGGGAAAACTTAAGAGAGAAATGGAGCAACCTGTGAGGAGTTTCTAAGCACTGTGGCAATACAAACACCACAAACTGCAAAGGCTCAGAGAAGGGTTCCACAGAGGCAGCAAGCTCAAAGTCAAAAGGTGTGGTGAGAAGGTCACTCTTAGTAAGTGGCACAGCAATCAATACAGGAGAGGAAAAAAGATTAACAGCTTAAGAGCCTCCAGTCCCTGGAAAGACTTAAATCAATGACTGGATGCTGGTTTCACAGAATACAAATACCACACATCACCAGGTGTGCCAACTGGAATGACTTCGATGACTCCACTGAGGTCAACACAGTTGTAACAGCTTGTTCTGGGTTTACATCTGGAACACCACAGTACTACGCAAACCTGGGTAATTAATCATCAGCCAAATGTCAGGCCAGGAATTTTATAATAATTCAAGCCTTTTTCAACAACCCAAGCAGCTATGTTCACATTCCACACAGTCTCACATGAGTATTCCAGTAAGAACAGAGAGGATGGCAGAAGCCACTCTCCCACCAGCACTACTGGGTACTGCAGCTCCTGCAGCAGCTCAGGCTGCCAAGGTAAGGACTCCATAGCCACAGGCACTGTGCTACCAAGCTGATGGACATGTCCCACTGTGAGCACGCTGCTGTGCATATACAAAACATGGGAGACAAGCTGACCACCCAGAAAGGAAGAAGAAGCAGGTGGGGAGCTAAAACTCTAGGCAGCAGATGACGTAAAGTGGGAATCAAAAATCACCCACTGCTGAGGACATGCCTTGAGAAGAGAAGTTCTGCCTCCCCTATAAATTACACCCAGCCTGGCAACTTCCAAAGAAACTGTGCTTATAGAAACTCAGGCCAGTGGCATCTTTGTGACAGTCAGAGTGCTCTGCTCCTGATGAACAAGAGTTCTGTGCCCTGTCCAGTGTTGCTTGCCATCACCTGTGGCCCACCAGGAATCCATCACACTGCAGAAGGGGCTGCACACACCTGCTGAAGTGCAGGCATTGAGCAGAAATGCTCAGTTTGCCTCTTATATACAACTTGCACCTTATAGAGACTCAGTCCCACACTTCTACTTAGGATTTCGGGAATCCTAAGTAGGAAAAGCAGGAATGTGGCAGCACAGGCCTTCCCTCCTAAAACCTCAGCTTCATTTTAACACATCTCTTCCCAAGAATCTCGTCTTCCCTAGATAAGCTTCATGTAATGTTTCTTCACCTCTCCCTTCCTCCAAACAATCTGCTATTTGTGTGCCTCCAGGTCATGCAGCATTTAGCAACGGCTGTGCCAGTTACACACTGTGAAAATTACTCTCCTGTCACATCCCAACACCATGGCTCTCAAAATCAAACATTTCCTGGTAACACTGTCCATCAAGGAATAACAATCACTGCTTTCTGCTCTCGAGGCACCATCATCCTTCCAAGGAACAGCTGGGATGGACACTATTTAAAATACCAGTAAAAGGAAGAAGAAGTACTGCTATAGCTGGGTTTGCCAGAACTGCCACTAAGAGCATTTGAGCTCTTGCTGTGACTCTGCCTTGGCTATTCTTTTCTGTGCCTCGGTTTCTCACCACACCTGTTGCCACTGGATATTTGGATGGCAAACTCTTCTTTGCCATGTTGCAAATTTCAGCTCAGGACCTGAGAATCCCTGCCATGGACAGGATGATTTCAGAACATCCCAGCTGTCAAAAAAGAAAGGATGAAGTGTGAAACTACTTCTAAAGACCTCTGAAGCAAGCTGAACCCAGAGCAAACATTGAATACAGCCAAGGGTCCTTCCTCCCCAGGCAGCAGTTTGTTCACATGCAGTGGTTCTAAGGCCTTCCACCCTGGAGTAACCTTGCTCATGGTTATCTCTATAACGCTGACACAGGGCAGCTGCCACTGAAATCACATCCATGCTCACTCTGCCAAAATGCTGAGATGAGCACACAAAACTCTGAAGGGTGACCATTCAGGTGTGCTGGTGAAGGGAGCAGATGAAGCAGATCTCTAGAGCTAGAAGTTGCCACTTAAACAAACATCAGCCACACTAAGGAGACGAGCCACAGAGACTGCAATATGTGGCAGCACTTCTCTGCACCTGTCTGCAGCACAATGCATTTGACACCCCTGCACTGTCAGAGCAGCAGTGGCTGCTGTGCACAGGATGCACCTTCCCAGCCCTCTGCAGCAGCCCCTGTCACGCTCTCATTGTGCTCAGAGTGGCACTTGCTGCAGAGAAGTGACTGCTGGTGCTCTGCTCACTCTCACATCCTCTGGGTTTGCATGGGAAAGCAGCAAAGCCAATCTGGTTTTTCACATTGCAGCAGGGTGCTGAGTCCTGCCACCAAGCAGCAAATAAGATGAATTTCATAAAAGTGTACCTGTGCTCACCAAAGACTGGATGGACCACACTGAGATTTACTAGCAGCTGCCAAGGAAAAGAAACAGAGAAGAACTGTGACATGACTCTCCACAGAATAACATCTGAAACTTCTGACACTGAACTCAAAGCATCTCAAAACACCTATGGAAGAGGAAATAACCTGGAAGCAGGATTAAATCTCTCTTGGTACCTCATTTTATTCCCAAGTGTGAGAAAGAAGCCTTCTTATTTTTTCATCAGGATTGTATTTTACTAAAACTTAAATACACTTTTTGGTAACTTTCCCAGACCAAAAAAAAAAAAAAAAAAAAAAGTTAATGCAAATTTTGGCATGGTCTTCACATGATTGCTCTATAACAGGGTGAGCTCTAGCAGCTTTATTATCCCACTCACCAGAGGCACAAGTATTACCTCTAAAAAGTCTGAAGCGCACATGGTCCCCCTTACATTTCACAATCACGGAAGGAAGGATGTGCAAGTCGCCTACGGAAAGAAGTGCTGGAGTTATTTGTCTCAGAAATGAAGACTGTGAGGAAATATGGGAACAGATTATCACATGGAAGGTGCTCTAAGGAGAGAGACAGCTGTTCTCCACCTCAGAAGTGCTCAGCTTTAGTCACAGCAAAGCTGCCATGACAAAAGAAAACTTTCTAGCAGATAGAAGCACCAGGACAGATTGTATGCTAAAGTCCTTACCAGCAATGGGAGCCTCTGGGTCAGGCTGGGCACACATTTGTCAGGAATGATGTAAGGCAAGTTGATGCTTACTTGGATGGGGAAATTGGGCTAGATGACAGTCAAGCTCCCTTCCAAGCCATTTTCATCTATGGCCCTACACTGAGGAACTGAGTGCTGGCCAGTAGTCCACACACAGAGGTGTGGACCCCAGAGATGCCCTGTGTCACCCTAATGCAGTCCCCCTGTGTCTGTCAGTTCCTCTCATGGAAAGCAGTCGCAGCCCTACAAGAGCACAGGCTCAGCAGTTAACACTGTGAGACAAAGTTTGTCTCTAAGCTCCCTGCAAAGTCACTTTCACCCCGTATCTCAGGTGGAGACTGAAAGCACCATCAGCTGCTTGCACTTTGGGGTGCTCACATGGACATTACACCAGAATGAGAATGGGATCTATCTCTGACCACCAGCCCTAGGGGGGCTTTGGGTCTCCCATTCACAGCAGGAGGTACAGCCCCACTGCCATGCCACAGCTGAGTCCTCTTCCAGCCTGCCAACACAAGCCCAATGTGGAAGTTCTGTTTCCCCAGCACAGGAAGCGAGCCTAAAGCCCCATTTGCAGCCGCACCTACACTGCAGCCCTGTGCCCGACCCCAGTTCTTGCTCTCCCTGGGCCTGCACCTTGCCCAAAGCGGGAAGGCTGAGGCAGGAGTGTCTCCAGCAGGGACACAGCTAAACTGGGACCGCAGCTCCATCTGCAGGGCTCTGCCAAAGCGGCTCCTCCTCGGGGAAGGGCAGTGTCACCCCAGCAGATACTGCATACCCAGCAACCCCCAAAACACAGATGTGAGCACAAACACAACCAGGCTCCTCAGGGTCCTGAAAGCAAAAACAGCCCCCCTCTGACAGCATCACCTCAGGAACCAAATCACCATTTGGATGCAGTTCCCAAGACCCAGTAAATTCCCAGAAAATTCAATGTATGTTAGATACTGGATGATGCAGAATGCGGAGTGAAGCCTCAGCCTTTGTGGCTCCGGGGAGCAGCTCACGTGCCTGGGGCTCTGCCAGTGTCAGCTCGGCCTCGTGCCCTCAGGGAACACAAACAGAGCCCAGGGCTCCACAGCTCCACAGCCAGGCTCCTTAAAACCTCCAAAGCACTTTCCAGTGCTTCTGTACCGAAAGGAGCCTGGGCCAATCCATGTAAAGCAGAGGAACACACTGTACTACACAAGCACATTCCCTCGGATGCGAGTGCGACAGGAACATCCAGCCTCCTGGGAGGAACAGCAATTTTTCCTTTTATAAAAAGGTCAGCAGCAGCATGTGATGTTCCAAGATATATAACCAGTATGCAATGCAAATACATAGAAATGCAAATGTTTTAGTGGCAAGTATAGGAATTTAACACTTGTCCTACTGGATTAGACCGATAGCCTGTCTTGCAGGGGATTTGTCCTGCTAAGGGCTCGGATAAGGGACTGACTGATGCTTCCAAGAAAAAGCACACTGCCTTCTGCATTCCAGCCACTGGCCACTCTTAGAGGGCCACCTAATAATACCTGTCTGCTGCACGGAACCAGCCCATCCTCTAAAGAATACGGCATGATGCTGTTTAAATCCCCATCAGCCCATGCACTACCCAGCTTTTAAGGCCTCCTGCAGAAGCAGGCTGTGTATAATGCTCTGTTTCATACACAAACACTGCTAACACTCAGAAGAAATCTGAGATCTCATTTCTTGAAATTTAATTTTTAAACAGAGTCTGACAAACTGAACTTAATGCCCCTAGATTACTATTAAAAAAAATCCACAATCACACAAACCACCCTTTGACTGTACTTTGTACTCATGGCTCTAGGAGGCCTGAAATCAGCTGGACTGAAATAGTATTTCCAAACCTGTGCTCAAGTGCACTTTAACTGATCTATTTTTGTTCCCTCCTTCCCTAGATTTCCTCTACTGTGTTTAACCAGGGCAGGTACTACAGGCCAGAGAAGACTCACAAATTCAAGTAAAGAGTGTAAAGGACACGGTAAACTACTGGAGTGGACAAATGTAATGTGAGATGTACAGTGGGTGAAAGGCAAGTCTGTGAACAGAGCTGTGAGTGGGAAAAGGCTCCAGATGGACCCAAGTGCTGGTTCTCAGAGAGAGCTCAGGTGTCTGTGGGAAAGCAGGGCCGATGTTCAGGAGTGAAGGGGATGGAGAAAACTCATCTGAGGAGTGAGAGTGTGGAAGAGGTAGAGGGGAAAGGGAACAGATGTACCTGTGAACCTGCTGCAGCCTTCCAACAGACTCAGTTTGCTGCTGCATGTCCTGCCTGATACTTCTGTCTGTCCAGACCAGCCTGGACAGAGCCTGAGAGCTCCTCCCTGGCACAACACACAGCAGGGCCTTGTCTGGATGCTCCCACCCCTCCTGAGTGCTCACCTGCACTGGCCCAGCAACTGCTTCCACCTGGACTGGCAGACCAGCCCCTTTCCTTGGCTTGCTTTCCTTCCTTTCCTGGCTAGCTATGGTCCAGAAGGGAACCTGCACCACTGGAAACAGCAGCAACAGCAAGCAGGAGCTTGAATTAATCCTGCCATTATTCACACTGACATGATGTTGACTGTCCACTTTAGGGACTTCTCTCAGTGCTGTTTCAGGCAGCCCCAGTCTGAGTCATCCTTCCCAAAGAGACAGGCCTCAGCTACTCCCATGCCTGTCACGAGACTGGGTCCTACTCAAAACTCAGCTTGTCAAACTTTGTGCAGGTCATTTCACCTCCTGTTTTTCAACTTCTCCATCTGCTAAAGCAGAGTAGTGACACTGGTCTTCTCTTTGAAGTGTTGCAATTAAATGTCTCATGTGGAATTTAGGCATTTCTATCACTGTCAGAGCAAAGTGTGGGTGCCAGATGTTTATTCAGGCCTGCCAGCATCTCTGAATAGCTGCAGTGAAATTCTTTTAAGGACCCTGGTCTGGAGCACTGTCTTTATTAATATGCATTGACCATTTCTGGCAGCATCCACCAAATGTCAAGGGCTGTAAATTCAGGTGCTGTAACATGTGTATTGATCCTTCAGGGACAATTACTCAGCAGGAGTGGGAAACAAAGGCTGCTTTGCTATTGGAGCATCAGGACCCTGGAACAGAACTGCATTTGAAATGTGCACAACAGTTATGTCCTGTTATACCTGCAAATCCATGTGCCAGTATAAGCCAGGATTTGAGCTTATCACCCCATCTGGTCACATTTTATATAAATGCATCTCAAGGCCAATTAAAAAAATATAATTAAATTCTTTCTAGGCCAAATGGGTGATTTGGCACGTTAAGAAGTTGTATTTTTAATCTGGAGCTGTGAACTCTTCTATCTTAGGTCCTGAGATGATTGAGTCACTTTAGCAGAGCAGACTAAAATGTTTCATGCAGTTCCCTGAGGAAGGTGAAACACTTCCATATGCTCAGCTGAACTTCGGCATCTCTGGCTAAGGTCTGTGTCAGGATATGAGGGGTCTGTCACTGCATGGAAAGTCCAGCACTCTGGGGAATGGAATTCCTTTCACAAGGCAGAAAGAGTCTTCAACCAGCTGTTCAGCTGGGCTCCAGAGCAAAAAGCATCCTGCAAGGAGAGTTACATCTGACACAGTTGTCAGCTGCTTTGTTTCTGGATGTGCAGAAACCTAGGCCTGTGGAAAAAAGAAAGATCAGAGCTTTAAGTCTCACTAGGGACAATGTGCCTCTACCTCCATCCTATAAAAGCAGTAACTTTCTAATGGCAGTAACTCCACCAGAGCCAGTCACCCCATCAGAAATGCTCACCTGAGTCAGAATTTCTGACTCAAACACTTGCCAGGCTGTTTCAGGCTATCAGAAGGCTCAGATACAACCAGGGGGCACCTATTTTGTCAAAGACTGGCTTCAGCTGTGAAGCTGCTCTGAGTTCACTCAGTACATAAAGGTGCAGGGACATATTCTTCAAAGGACACAAAACCTCCAAAAATGCAAAGGCAAAAAAAAAGACTTACTTGCCACAGAAGTCCTTGTGAATGGCACGGAGTGTGAGAAGTAATTCTGGGTGTGCCTGTAGCCACTGCTCCACCATATTTGGATGCCTGGGATCAACTTCCAGAAACACGCTCCTGAAAAGATACATTTGGGAGTAGAATTGGAGAAATGCACATTTAGGTTGCTACACTGATAAAAATGAAGATCTTTCTTTCTGTATGACTCTGAGCAGTGCAGGAAATGAAAAGGTCAGTAAACACAGTGCAATCCAACAACCCTAAACCAGATCATAGCTGTCAACATAAGATGCAGATCCCAGCTGCCTCCTTCAGGGGAGAAAGTGCTGATCCTGGGGGGAATTCTCATGGTACTCTGTGTGAGCAGTTAAAGCCCTGTATCGAGATGTAATGAGCCCTTCTGAAGCTCACCCAGAGATACCACCAGCAATGTGTTTCTGAAACCCCCCAAAGATTTAAAGGCAGAAGGCAGTTTTTATGCTGCAGGAACTGAGCACTGAGCACTGGCCTGGCAGCCTGAAGTCCCTCTGTGTATAAGCAGCAAGAGACATGAAATACAAGTCAGAACACACATTTTTCCACAGTAAATGTCTCCATAAATCAGTTATGAAAACAACACCAGAATTCAGGCCTACATAGAACTGATCAAATAACCTCTGTTAGGGCACCAGGACCAGGCCTGGGTACTGCAGGGCTATTTCCATCTCTGCCAGGCTTTATGACACTGGCTCATCCCCATGTTCTCTCCTGTGACAAAGCAGAACCACCCCAGCTCACAGGCATGGGGAGTGATGGAGCTGGTTATGGCCTGGGACACAGCAAGAGGCATGTTTAGCAGGCTAAGGACACAGGCCAAACCCCATCAAATGCTCTCCTGAGAACTTTAAAACATCCCACACTGAATACTCCCTACAAATTCACCAGGCTAACTACAAGCTGGGTGTGGATCTTATTCCTGACTTTAAAAAACTTCCACTCCTCAATGGGGGCTTGACCTTATTAAACAAGCAAAAAGAGAAGGAAAAGAAATAGCCTTAAGAAACAACCCCAAAGGACCAGTCTCTAATGCTGGGAAATTCTGAGACGCATCTTCTGTCTTGTGGTCGTGCAAAGCATGAGGAATGAATTCTGCATGCACTATGCCTCTCAATATTCCCATTCTTCTCAAAACAGCAGATTTTCAACAACCACTCTTATGGTGGCCAAATGTCATGAGTATTCAACAGGATGCGTGAATGCCCTGGCACATGAACAGTACACTCAGACTTTTGGGTATCAGCATGTTGATCTTCAAAATGGATCCCGTGTGATAGAGAATAGGAACAATCAATCTTGAATATTAATCATGGAGAAATTAAACATTTAAGAAACTATCCCTAACTGATCTTCTATTTCCTGGGATATTCAGCATTCTATACTGGTACAACAAAGAAGTTTCCCCTAATGAAAGGGGGGGAGGGAAGTGGAGATGTACACCCACCCTCAAAGAGTTCTCCATTGCTTCTCCTTCCATCAGTTACTCACCTTAGAAAGCTCCCCTGCCTTCTGCACTCTTCTTAGCTGCTCTCTTCCATGTTCTTTGTTGCTGCTTTCACCTTCAATGATTCTCACTTCACTAATGACCAGGAAATGCCACCAACAGCCAAGGAAAGGCCCCACACCACTTTATTAACCAATTTAAAGATAATTTTGCTTACACACATTAAATTTTAAAAACTGCTGTTATTAACAGGGGCAATGAGGGGACAATTTGGCAACTATTTTCCCTCTGTTTTGTTTTCATACAGGGAAGAACAGAATTTACAGAAGTGGATGGATAAAAGATATGAAATTCAAAAGACTGTAGCGCTTACCCAGAAACCTTCAGAAGAGAAGGAGCCAAAGCCAGAATTGTTTTGATGACTCTCATGCCATCATCTCCCCCATCCAGGGCATCAAGGTCCTCATAGCTGGAGTGTGGGAAGAGAAAGACATTTGACAGCAGTTCCTGTGGTCCTTGAGAATGCATCACCCCACAAAGAAAGGTGCACATGACACACCGGAACTCCAGAGCAGGGGACGGCACTCACGCCTTATATGGGAAATACAGGGAGGGAGAAGCTACCACAGGGCTGAGAAATCCCACATTCAGCACAAGGAGAAATCACCCCCTGAAGTATTTCTGAAAATTAGGAACCAGCTGTAGCTGGGATCTCACAGTTCCAACACATAGGTTTGTTCTCTCTAAGCTGGTCAGAGAGCAAGGGTGTTGTACAGCAAGGGCTTGATTGATCCATGCCAAACACCAGCTCAGGCTGTGGCTAACTCAGCAGAGCCAGCTGGGATGCAGAAAGCTCAGCTGCCAGAACCTGCTTTGGTGCACATCTTGTACAGAGGTGGGGTCAGGACTTTCTTCTCACATGCATGACAGTCAGTTTTGGATTGGGAACTTGCTAATTTCAAACAGTGTACTTTTTCTATTTTAATAAATCTTTAAAACATTTCCATGTTGTTTCAGGCCTGTAAGCAGTATCAAAGTAAGCCTGTATTATTATATCCCAAATAAACACACCTATATTTTGTATGTGTATATTACATTTGCATGTTTTGTGTGCAACTGTGTGTAGTACAAAGAAGCAGACAGAAAACCTTACTTCAAGGAACAGGAGAGGAAAAATCTCTTTGTTTTATTACCAGAGGATTTCTGCATCCAAGGAAGCCATGTCTTCATGGAAAACATATGGGGGGTTACTGACTATGACATCTATGGGGCCCCAGAGCAGCAGCTGTTTGGCAGAACCTAGAAAAGAAAAAGAATCACAAGCAGCTCTCAACCACAGCATCTTCCCTAGAAGATCAGTGTGAAGACCATCCCCCAGGAAACTGTCTCCAGGCACATGTAAATGTCTTTGGCTCTGCTTTGCGATGACAAAATTTTATTCTATTTCTTTCTGCAATAGCGTGCCTTGTTCCCTGTCCCAAGGGTGCAAGAGTGATACAAAGGAAAGCACAGATGAAATATCATTTTTTCATATCAAGAGCCTGCTTAACAAAACATGCTAAAAAGCACAGGAGCTTGATGCCCTGGAGCTCTGTGCCCACCTGGATCTAAAGCAACAACCAGAACTCAGAGAGCCCACAAAGACCTATGTGGGAGCTCAGACTGGCTGTGCAGATGGACATCCTTCCTCACAGAGCTTACAGAGCTGCAGCAGGACCTCCAATGAGCTGCAGAGCCAGGGCCCCTCAGCAAAAACAACAGTGGGCTGCTCTTCTGCAGACCAGGAGCAGCTTCCTACACTCCTGCTGCTGTCTGACACAGGCCAGCCCTGAATCAAACCTCATGGAACCACGTGAGTGTGGCACTGTCCTCAGGCAGCCTCTTGGCACAGGGCTTTCAGCTCTAAGAGGTAGCAGAGAGTCAAAAACAAGTGTCAAAGTTGTGCTAATGAACCCACAGTGCTGCAGCTCCTGGCTCCACAGCTGCTAACAAACAGCCAAACACTACTGACCTAACTGGAGAGGCCCCACCAAATGCTGGTTTTAACTGGTTTCAACTGGCTCTGGGGAAGAAAAGCATCCTTTCCTGGTTCAACTAACATAATTTCAGGTGAATACAGTTGGGCATTTAATCTAAGCTAAATATATGGGCTCCCTCTACCATCAATGGACAGACAGGCATGGACATATTTATCTAAAGCCTTCATGTCAGCATGGAATGAATTACACTCTATATATTTGTCTCTCCCCAGCAACAGTAAAGGGTGCCTGGACTCCCAGCTCAGATACAGCCTTGGGACACCTAAACTCAGGAACAATTAACTTTCTGATACAATTAGAGACTTCTGTCAGCTGATCATCTGCCCTGGAAATCTCTGCAGAGAAAAGCTTCACCGGCTCACTTCTTACTGACTTCTATTAACTTCAATACTCTTCTGCTGCCTACATCCCAGAATGGTCCCTTGGCTGTCTCTCATGCCTCCCTCCACCCATCAAAGACAAAAAGGGAAAAAGACAAAGGGGATTATAACAGAGAAAAGAGTTACTGTGTGAAACATCTTGGTGGATGATGCGAATCCTTTCTTGGAGTTGCAGCCTGTAAAATTCCAGATGCAACAACAGAAAGAAGAAAGATTAGGAGGCGTACATGTGTTCATGAACAGTACATTCTACAAACAGGTCATTAAATATTGCACCTTTTATCTGATACACATACATTCACAACTGCCAAGACCTTCCCAGCATATTCTCTCCTCCACCAGTGGCCTTACACCCAAGTTCTACTCTCTTTGCTGAGGGCTGTGGTCCTGCCCTATCAGGATACACAGGCATCAGGAAAGGGAGGGATTCCTGCACTGTGTGCCATGTGCCCAGATGGATCTGGCACTGGGCTTGATCCACTAGGATTCATACAAGCATCTAGAGAACACAGCTGGGATAAGGGAGCTCTGAAAAGCAGGCAGGATCTAAGCTGGGCTCAGTCAAGCAGTAACACAGCTTATCCTGCTGGCTTCTCTCCCAAGAGCTACAGGGCACCATGCCAGGGACAAGATCACAAAGACACAATGAAAATACCCATGGAGAAATATGAAGCTCTCTGACATGACATTTATACTCCCTCATCCACACTTGAGCCAACAAGCAATGTTAATAAGCAAGACAATCTTCCCCAGAGGCCAGAGTTATTATCAAGGAGACAAAGATCTGTCCAGCTTTTATTATATTTATGAAAAATTGCAACAGAATTTGGTTTGACACATTAGGAGGAAACCTCTGCTCCCCATTCTTTGTAACTGAGATAGGAGGCAAAGGGTAACAGTGAGGTGACCAGTTTGGGAAGGGCTTGTTCCTACTCAGCTCTTCAGACTCACACACAAGCTGGGACTTGCAAGAAGTGAAGAAATGCAGCCCAGTGCAGCCAGCACCAGAAGTAGACCCCCAGTGCTGGCAGCAGCTTGGGAGAAGAGGGGTATGTGGGCCTGTAGACAGAAATCCCAGTTAATGAGCACCTCTTGCGATGCACAGCTGTACTGGACTCCATGAGAAATAGCAACAGGAATTCTTTCTGAGATTACTCTAATTAATGCCTAGGGCCCAGCAGTTACTGAGGATGAAAATGCAATCTGGAGCTCATTTGACAAAGCCTACAGAGACTCAGAAGCATACTGGGATTCCAGCTCTGGGGCTCCCTGTGATAGTGACAGTCCAGAACAACCTGACAGAAGAAGCAGCTGAGGAAGTGGAGCCTCTAGGAAGGACAAGGACAACCGGACAGACACTCTCTGACTTCAGCACAAGGTGTTTGAGCCAGCAGCTCTGAACATCCATGCTGCCACAGCACAGGTGTCTGAACTGCATGGGATCCAGCAGCACCATTCCCACCAAACCAAGACTGCAGGAAGGATGCTGAGGGACACCACGCAGCACATCAGAGGAAAAGTGCTACTTGACTGTGAAAGCATTTCTGGAGGAGCAAGGACAGAAACAAGCACAACAATAATGACTGAGGGAGCCAGAGAGAGAAAGGCTCAGGGTATACTTGTCCTTAACCACCTAAATGATTAACATTACTACTTCAGTCCCGAGCTTCCTGAATTCAAAGACAGGGGTAAGAGTAGTTACCAAAAAACACTCTGAAAACCCTTGACAAACACCATGTGAGTACCACTGCTTTATTTAGGCCGCTGTCTTTGCAAAGCACATTCACAAGCCAAAGAAAAACACTCCTGTAAACTTAAGCTTTTTTTTTTTTTTCTGAATTGTTAACACTTTAGTAGCTCAACAACTAAACAGTCTCTGGTTTCCAGTGGTGATAAACATGATACACATGTACAAGTACTGATGACTCTTAGTCTTTCTCAAGCAACAATTTACAAAAAAATGAGTAATATGTGGTCTTGTACCTATGTGCATTCTCCCTGGTGAGATCCACAGCAGCCTCCTCTTTGTCCATGGCTATGACTCTGCTCTGGAACAGAGAAAAACAACAAACCCCACCAAGCAGCTGTTATCAAGATTCCTGAGCAGACATGTTCTGCCAAACATACAAGATCAAAACTGACAAGAGATTGCTCACTCTTGGCTCCTGAAAGGAACAGTTCCTGAGGAATGCATGCAGGGCATAGCTGGGATCACGAGTGATGTGTGTAAAGCACTAAGGTGACTGAAGGCTCTCTGCAGCCCACCAGAACAGACAACAACAGAGCCACAGTGACTCACCTCACTGACACCTCACTGCTCCTGGCAGGGTGAGACTCAACACTCTGGCTAGTCTGGGCTAGGCGCAGGCTGCAGGAAGGTCATGTTGTTGGATTCATCCTTCCTAGCACAGACAGGATCCCTCCTGAAACTAACACAACCACTTGGACACAGATTCTGGCATTTTCCATCTGTTATGCAGACACCTTTTACCCAGTTACTCCACTGCAGTCCTTAGACAGATTCACTGCCTGTATTCACTGCATGTACTTGACTGTGTGTCAGGTATTTAAAAGTTCTCCAGCATAATGGTAAGAGACAGGGGTCCACAAATGTTTGTTTGACCTTGTTTGACCTTGGGGAAACCACAGACAAAGGCCTAACTTGATTTTGCTATGCTTGATATTTATTTAAGCAGAGATGTTGGCAGGATTTACACAGAGGACACATGCTTGAAGAAACTGCTTTGCATTTGGAGATGACAGTATGATTTGCCATCACTCCTAAGGGAATTAATGTCATGGTCCCAGGCCAGCACCCACACACATGAAGCTCACCCTTAAGGTGAAGGACACAGCAGAGACCATAAATGAAAAACTGCTCCTGTTTTCTCAGTACCTTAGTGCCAAATTCTGCCTCAAACAGTAAGGAGATTACCCAGAGTGTAACTCCACTTAGCTGTGAGGGTGGCTACCACTAATTCTAATCAGTCAAGGCTCCTTATTTCCCTGGGTACAGCAGATTGGGCTGGGAAAGAACTGTCATGAGTTACAGACTGACACAGCTCTTTAAATTAACAAGCAAGGAAAAGAGCATGAAGCTCTTTTCCTAGCTCAGGAAATCAGAACAATTATACTGTGAAGCCATGAAGCTCAAATATTAACCTTCTTAGGTCACTAGGAGGAGGAACACCCCTTCCATTAGAGGTATCAACCTCTAATTCTTACACAGCAGGGCTTATACTTCTACAAGAGATGGGGCTGGCCACAGCAATTCTCATTCCTGAGAAGGAACTGGCTGGTCTGCAGTTCTGAGGAGAGGGGAATATTTTTACCTTGACCACAAGCAATGAGATCTTGGATTCATTTCTCATCATCTTGACCAAGAGTATCTCCATAAACATGTTACACACCACAAAAATCAGGGGCAAGAAGAGCTTTGGTCACCCAGATCTCAGTACCCTCCTGCTCTTTTGGCTCTCTTCAGAAGATGTGGGTTGTTACTAGGGAACAGAAGACTACAAAAACATGGTTTGGCAGTTGTGGCAGTGAGATTTGCTTGTCTTACTGATCCCAAGTACTGACACTGCTATGGTAATCCCTTTCCTGTATCATTTAGTCTTCAATTTATTAGAGACAAGATCTTTTGATTCATAACAAGGTGGTTTTTAGAGATGACTGCCCCATAAATTCATCTAATAGAGTGTGTGCCCATGCCTCAGTCCTTCCTGTCCTCAGTCCAGGTTAGTAGCTTAAACCAACAGCCACCAGTGCTTCAAGGTAAGGTGATTATTAGTGAGCTGCAGCAGCTCAAGAATGGGCACATTCACTTCTTTCATTCTGGTCATGCCTCTGCTACTCCTGCAGACAGGGAGATGGAGCAATTCCCAAATATCCCTCCTCTACCTACTAGGAACTTACAGAGCCTGTCAGAGACCTGAGCTGCCAAAGTTCCTTCAGAGAAGTTCGTGACATCTCAATGAAGATGAGCAGAGTGGGATTGTCCTCTAACAGAAGCATTTATTGCACCAGGAGCACTGAAGGGAGCTCACCTGTGGCAGTTTACAGAGCAGACTCAAAGCAATTGCTCCAGAACCACAGCCAATTTCCAGGATCACAGGATGAGGAACAGGAACTGGGAAACAGAGGGTTGAATTCTCACATTTTTGAAATTCTTCCTCCACAACTAAAGAAACAAGGTCCTAAAAAAACAAACAAACAAAATTACTAAGGGAGCTGTTTTGACTCACACCTTTGTGATCTGAAGACTGAAGTTTAAATCTCTTGACTCTGTACCCAATGCAATGTATTTTTGTTGCTAATTTAAAAAACACAGATGGTAGTAATTGAACTGACATGCCAGAAGTCACTTCAGCTCCATCTGCCCCACAGGGTGCTTTGATTAGTGACCAAATCCTCAGGATACAATCTCCCACAGATCCTCTGAAATCTTCTAGCACTGTTGGGAAAAACAATAACCAGACAGCTGGAGCACATTTACTCCAAAATTTTGGCTTTCAGAATTTGTAAGCGTCGAAACTCAAGATTTCTACAGTCTCAGTATGGTAGGTGACCAGGAGGCAGCTGCACAGCTCCTGACAGTATACAAACCAGTAATCCAACCTGCAGATGAACAGTCAAGCCAATTAATGTTACTAAATGATCCAAACGAGTAATTCCCTGCATGGATTTCAAATTGTGGACTCCTACTACATTTTGTTGCTATAAAGTCACATGGAAAAGATTTTCATCCATGCTCCTGGTTCTACTCCTGGTTCTACATGCAGTTCTGCTATTTCTGCCTCCTCCCTCACATCAATCTTTTGTTTTTTAAATACCTTTGCCATGTTATATAAAATCCAATACAGCAGGAGAGGTCTCAAAGATTTCTAAGGTTTGTGAAAATGAGATAAAAAAGAAAGCACACATGTGCCTCCCTCTGACTGCAGCATGAACTTCCTTTGTTATTCACTGGAGAAAACTGTAAGATGGAAACCTTATGAACACTTTGAGTCCATCAACAGCCCATCAGGTGCTCTCAGCTCCTTCCCATCCTTGTGCTTTCAGGGCACAACAGCACACACAGGCCTTCTGCCCTAGGTGTTCCCTAGGATTCTCTACTTGAGAGGGCTGTTCTTGGATCTCTCCTGTAAATCCAGAAAGCTTAACAAAATTTACAAAAAATAACTGGCATAAACTGGAATATTTAAAAGGAGCAAGTCCTGGCAGGCAGGTAATCTTCTCTTTTACTTTACAATGGCTTTTGTTAGGAGCCTGAACTGGACAGACTTGTGCATAAGGGCAGAAGCCTCTCCTTGGATCTCTCACCATTACTGGGCTGCAGAAAAAGAGATGTCTTGTGCAAAGCTGCAGTACCACTGAAGAGATTCATAGCTGTTGGTCATCCTCCATGACAGGCTACTTCATATGTGCAGTAAGTGGGAAGGGAGATGCAAACAGGTACAAAAATGAAGCATTCAGGTAGATGAGCTTTGATGAACTATTCCTGGAGCAGGCAAGTTTGGGGACTGATATCTAAATATACTCAGAGATACTTGGGATGAGGATTCTGGGAATCACAATGCCCTACCCTGGCCACCATGTCATTACTGGCATTGCCCTCACATGGGAGTTTTTCTAACAGCCTCCAAAATCACAAATTCCTCACTGATGCTCTGGGATTCCTTTCCTAGACAATTACGGATGAAAACAGTCTCACAGGCTCCCAACCTGTAGAAAACTATTACAGGACTCAGACAGCAAAAGGGAAAAATAAACACCTGATCTACCCATTTCTGTGAGAAGTGGCTTTGGCCATTCAAACAGCTCCAGATGAATCAGCCTAAAAACACTCGGGCACTGCAGAGAGCCAGAGACTGCAACCACAGCTTGCTTTGGCAAAGCAGGTGAGGTGCTGAGGATTCCAAGACCACAGAAGAAAAGGCACACAAAAAAATCTGCTTGGCTATTAAATCACTTCTTTAAATACCAGCCATTTCTGGACACTTACAAACATTTCCTGGAAATCTCCACAGTAACTCAGAACCATCTGTTCCCAGAGGAGCACAAGTTACTGATTACAAAAGTCCAAATATGACTTCCACACACTAGAACTATTCTAACCATTTATTAACTTCCTTAAGGTTTCTCATTAGTAATTTCAAGCTTGATGGGTTTGAATGGAATGCCTACTTTACACATTCCACAGTGAAAACATTTTAGTGTGCTTGCCAAAGCTCCCATTTAGACATGACTGATTTCAGGTTTTACCACATAAAATACAACTAAAATGGGACATTGATATTACTTAGGCTTTGTGTCCTTTCTGACTGCCTTACCTCATTGTCTTGGTTATTTCATTTCAATTCTTACTGAGGCAAAGGCTGGCTTTCTCATAATACACATTTACCATAATAGTGCAAAAGTAAAAGACATAAAAAATAATGGGACAACCTAAAGGAATGGCATCATTTTCCAGACATTAGTACCTCACTACAATAAAAGGCTGAATAATTATTTTCAACGTGATTGACCAGCAAAGAAGAAAGAGGCATTCTAGCTGGCAAACAATCAGGAAAATCCAGCAACTGTTACACAGAGCATGTCCACTCATCCCACTCCCATTGCCACCAGGTTTCAGGAATGATTAAATTATCAAAAATTGTTTTGAAATGGTATTCATCAGATTCTTCTCAGTATTTTTAATCCTTTAGCAAATGATCCAGCCAAAATCTGTACTTCTCCAATCACACCATCACCTCCAAAATATCACCACTGGAAATGGATAAATTACAGCACTTTGCAGAACACAGTAGAGCCCCTTTCAAATCTTATCTTGGAAGATGAACTATTTCTGGCTGAGTATTACAGTGTTCATACAAAGACTACAAAATAGACAAGTCAGACATTCCCAGCCTTTGCACAAGAATCTGACAGGAACCACAGAGAGGGAAAAGCAACAAAGAGGCTGATGGTGCTAAAAGGAGGTGCCTGGGACTGGCACAGAGAAAGTGGGACTGGGACAACTGCAACTGGCCAAAGGCTGGGGTCTTTACTGGGTAGGATACCCCATGTCTTCTCAGACTGAACAGATTCAGAGCACAAATGCCTGCTAATGTAATGCCAACATCACCAAAAGCCATTTAAACCATCAGTTTGATCACCAGCTTTGAAGGCTGAGATATGAAATTACAGAAATTCCACTGGGAAGTAAAAGAAAACACTTTGTGACCCAATTCCATATTTGCTCACAGCATGCCAATCACAGGGTAGAATGAACTCTCAATTGTGGACTTACTAACATTCAAATTATTGTTTACAGTATGAGTCATTATTGTCAGTTACAACCCAATCTACAACAAAAAAAATCTGCTAACCAGTACTACAGGTACTGGCAGAACTACTTTCATCCTGGAGCCTGGTATACAGACACGTGGGTATCAGTGTGAGAATTGTGAGAATGGGGAAATGGAACCTCTTGAAGACTGTTTCTCCTCTAATCTTTGCAAGAAGTTCCTTCCTGCAGCAAAAGTCAGTTTTGGAAGGAGTGAAGGGACTGAATGGCAAACAGATAGAACCAGAAAGAATCTAAAATCCTCTGCCTGCTTTTGCTAGCAATGGCAGCAAGGTGAAAGGGAAGGAAGGTCCCCTACATGGTTTGGGCAGCCCCATGATGGAGCTGGTGACACCTGCATGCAGGGACAGACTGCATATTTCATTCCACAGATAGGTGAGCAGAGGTGTTGAAACAGCCAGGAAGAAGAGACAGAAATCCCATGGAAAAGTAGGTTCAGTAGCCCGTTTTTCCTTGAAGCAAATCTTATGCATGGTCATAAACTAAAACACAAGAAGTTTCACCTCAACATGAGGAAAAACTTCTTTATATTGATGGTGACAGAGCACTGGAACAGCTGCCCAGGGAGGACACAAAGTCTCCTCCTTGGAGATATTCCAACCCCACCTGAACACATTCCTGTGTCACCTGCACCAGGTGGCCCTGCCTTGGCATGGGAATCAGACTGGATGATCTGGATGATTCCTTCCAACCCCAACTGTTCTGTCATTCTGTGATTACCTTGTGCTTTTACATGTACAGGGGACACAAATATTTGCTTCTCATGCTACCTAACTTCCAGCACTCAAGATGCTCTCAAGTTTTTGTCTCTACCTCTCACAGGCTGTTCTCCCCTTGTGATTCCAGGAAATCTTGCTTCACTGCCAGATTCACCCTAAGTTCACACTGTCTTTTATTTGGGTTCCACCCCCAACCTTCTCTTTGAGTGCAACAAATGCAAAACTTTGTGAACACCTCCAGCTTCCCCTGAGCCTCTGCCTCACCCTTCCACCTACAAGTGTAGTTCCCCAGTTCCCCCCAGAACCCTCTCTGTTCTCACAGGCTATTGGTGCCACCTCTGTCCTGTGGCCAGGGCTCTGGTTCACTGCATTTCTTGGAACTGCAGCTGCACAAAGCAGTGAGAGGTCAGGGGCTGCCAGCACCCAAACCACAGAGGCTGCACAGCTGCAGCACAGGCAGAACCAGCACAGGCTCAGCTGGGTTCCAGCCCCAAGACAGCCGGGAGGAGGCACCAGAGGTTCCTGGGCCCAAGGCTGGCTGCAGAGCCGAGCACAGGGACAGAGCTGAGAGGATCCTCTGCTAGAGCCCAGCACCTGGCAATCACCCATCATATGTTTCTGCCATCAAAAAGGACAAACCAAATAAATAAAACAAGAGGAAGTGAGGAATGGGAAAGGCAAGGGTGGAAGTCACAAACTACTTCCGACAAGCACCCTTCTTTCATGCCACAGGGAAAGCAGGGAAGACAAGGTTCCAGGGGTAAGAGCCAGGGTAGCAGGAGACTCTAAATTCCCAGGTCACTCAACTGAAGAAGAAAAGCAAAAAAACCCAGGAAAACCCTGGTAACCTTCTCTCTGCTATTGCACACTTCCTGGGAATGTTTCACGTATTTGTGTGCTTTCCAGAAACTTCTATTCTCAGAATCCAGGACTTTCCATAGAACCTGATCTGATATTAACCCAATCACCTCTCCCATCTTGTTTGCCCACTTGGCTGCCAATCAGCACACAACAAACACCAGGAAGCCAAGCTGGAAACCCAACTCCATGGCAATGGCCCTAGAAAACCCCTGCCAATATCCCACTTCCAAAACCAAGCCATCAAACCAGCCCACTGCTTCATGGGCAG